ATTATAATAGCTAAATAACTCAAACAGGACTTATTTATACTTAATTTCCGAGAATATCAATGTTTTAGTTATGTTATATGGGTCTTTGTTGAAAGGGGCCTGAATAACTTAGGTCTTATTGCTTGATGTTAAAAGTAGGTAATTAGTTTCTGAGAATATTAATGTTAGGAAAATATAACTTTGTTGAGAGGGATTGTATGTTAATAAGATCGGTGGGTTTTGGTTAAAGTTTAAAAATGTAACAAAGAAAACACAATTACTCCCATATTATTCAATTGTTCAGGTTAGTTCAGTTTGAATATAAATTTGAGTAGTCAACTTTTATTCTTCAGTCGACTTTTCGAATTTCATTTGAACTGTTGTGTATCTAATTGTAAAATTGCTTTTTTCTGTGTATTTTGTGTTTAATCTTTATTTCACCTATCATTGCAATGGAATATTCTGTCACGCACAAGGGAAATAGGGTTCTTGTGTACCAAGGGTATGAATATACGAAGTACAGAGAAAACAAAAGTGGAGTCATCATGTGGAGGTGCAGAATCTACTATTCTACCAAGTGTAAGGCCTTCTTGAGATCCCAAGAAGACAACATAATTGGTGAGGTTCCACAACATTGTCATGATTCCAAACCGCAAGTAGCTCAGGCTAATATTATTAAGGCCATATTGAAGCGTGACATGAAGGCAGTTGGTGCAACTCCAAGAAATGTATTGGGACATGTATTAACCAACCTAAGTTGCGATGTATTGGAACATTTGCCAAAGCAATCTTCCTTGACCAGAAATCTTTTCAACCACAAGAAAACGGCTCATATTCCGAATCCGACCACAACAAATTTTCGGATCCATGAAAATTATGCGGACTTGATTCTGCACGACACAGGAGCGGACGATCAAGAAAGTGGCAGCAGTTGTGGAAGAATATGAAAATTATGATGATAAACTGGTGTATTTGCGGCGAATGGCAAACTTACAGTAATTTTTTTTTTAATATATACATAAACATAAGTGAAAAAATATTCTAGGTATTTTGTGTTTTTCATCCTTTATTTTTTCCAGTTGTTGTTATTTTAAATTTTATATTCAAACCCGACTAACCTGAACAATTGAATAATATGGGAGTAATTGTGTTTTCTTTGTTACATTTTTAAACTTTAACCACCGATCTCATTAACATACAACCCCTCTCAACAAAGTTATATTTCTAATTATTAATATTCTCAGAAATTAATTACCTACTTTTAACATCAAGCAATAGGGCCTAAGTTATTCAGGCCCCTTTCAACAATGACCCATATAACATAACTATAACATTGATATTCTCGGAAATTAAGTATAGATAAGGCCTGTTTGAGTTATTTAGCTATTATAATCTCACTTCTCTTAAGGGAAAATATATACATGAGTGAAAAAATATTCATTGAAGTTCAATAACTAGATACCTATTTTTTGTTTTTCATCCTTTATTTTTTCCAGTTGTTCTTATTTTTCAGAGTTCTGTTTTGTCAAGGTTCTCTTATTTCAGTGTTCTGTTTTTTCAGTAGGTATTCTGTTTTTTCATGTTCTGCTTTTTCACGTTCTGTTCATTCATGTTCTGTTATTTCATGTTCTGTTATTTCATGGAACCGATTAGTCAAGTGAATAGAAGCAGGTTCTATTTACTTGAGCAAGTGGCTTCCCCCACTTCCGTTTATTTAACTGACTTTGGCGGACTGGACTCGTGTAGACAGGATTTGTATTTAGTGATTAGTGAAGTACATTAGTAGGGTTTGAATTTGAATATTTTGGGTATTGTGTAGCACCTATTAATTGCCTTTGCAATGTCGTCTCGTTGGACGGAAGAAACCACAATTAAATTTGTGCAAGAGTACAGAGAACATCTGTGTTTATGGAACTCTAAAATTCCACTGTACAAACGAGATATCTATGGTCGAACTCAACAACATTTTTCTTTTTCAATTTCTTTCAATAAAATTTCTGATAATTCTCCACAAACACTCAAAATGCATTTTTGAATTTCTTTTCGGACAACTGTACTTGCTGCCATTTCACCTCAATTTGCACTAATCACTAAATTCGACTTAAAATCGGTAAAAAACATGTAGACACTCACTTGTACGAAAACAAAGATAATTTAGCTACTGGCGTTAGTACTTGCTTAAGCTACTTGCACCGTGTAAATGAGGCTATAATTTAGCTACTGGCGTTAGTACTTGCTCAAGCTACTTGCACCGTGTAAATGAGGCTTTGGTAACAAAACAGTTCGATGTTACATGATACACAACTCACCGGCACGTCGCCAAGCCGCACACCGCTACCGCACACCGCAATGCCGGATAGTTAAAAATCCTACCTTAACCGGTTCAGACAAATCGTATGCACCCTAAATTTTTAGGATTGCATATTTAATGACAATCTAAAATACTCTACACATATTAAAGTGTTGACTAAAAGAGTATCCAGTGACTGCTATGCAATTAAAACTATTGCTGCGCAATTGGGTGTAAGGGAGGCTCGCATGGTTTATTTTGCAGTAATTGAATCGCACCTGTCATATGGAATTGCTTTCTGGGGTTTTTGTAGTCGCCAATTGTTCCAGCGGGAGTTTGTTCTGGAAAAGCGTGCTGTCCGCTATTTGTCCGGAGAAGGTACTAGGGAACATTGCCGACCTCTCTTTCTGAAGCTTGGAATTTTGACTTTGGTATCATTGTTTATTTTGGAGACCACCTCTCTCATGCACAAATCCATAGGTCCTGCAATGGTTCGATCCACATAGGGGATCAAGGAGCTTGCCTTTGCCTATTCCTAGGTCAACTCTAGCAAAACAGTCAATAATATATGAGAGCCGAAATAGTTATTTGTTTCACTAGGCAGAAAAGTACAAGATTTAATGCCGCGGCTGGTGTTTCATAGCCGAGGCTAGGAAACCAGCCGAGGCATTAAATCTGCTTTTCTGCCATGTAAAACATATAATTTTTTCTTCGAATGTTCAAATTCACACATGGACATCTTTTTATATTTATTTCATTCATTATTATTATCCAAATAATTAAATTATTTTGACAATTGTCATTGTCACCATCAATTTCAAATACCAAATTGAGTGAAATTATTACCTGGAACGTTGCGACACTGTCACTTTTAATGCCTAGCCAGTAAAAGTCCACTTTTTATCCTGTCAAGTGTCATTAAAAGGCCGCTTTTACTGTCATTCAGAGAAAAATAACTATTTTCTCCGAATGTTCAAATTCACACATTGACATCTTTTTTATATTTATTTCATCCATTATTATTATCCAAATAATTAAATTATTTTGAGAATTTCATACATCTGTCAAAACTGGTATTCCAACAATAAATTGACATGTTTTGATTGTTGATTTGAACCAATCAGATTGTAATTACGCGATAATTTGCACTAGTGCAAATTATCAGATAATTGCATCCTAACGGTGCAAAAACTGGTGTTTTGAAATTTTTTGACAAAAAATTTTAATTTTTGATTTATAAAATTCTCTTATTAAATACAACTCGTGCAATGGAAATATATTTATAATTTTCGACAAATTTGCACTCATGCGTTTTTAACTGAAAATGCATTCGGGCAAATTTCCTAAAAATTATCAATAATTTCCATTGCACTAGTTATATTACTATTGAGAATTGTCATTGTCACCATCAATTTCAAATACCAAATTGAGTGAAATTATTACCTGGAACGTTGCGACACTGTCACTTTTAATGCCTAGGCAGTAAAAGTCCACTTTTACTGCCTAGGCAGTAAAAATACAACTTTTTGATCCTGTCAAGTGTCATTAAAAGGCCACTTTTACTGTCATTCGGAGGAAAAATATATAATCATATTCCTGTTAGCATCAAAAACGCTCCAAATGGTGTAATAGTTATTTATGATATAAGTGTTAAAAATACTTTTAACACAAATATCATACAATTTTTTTCCTACAAATGGCAATAAAAAGCAATAACCAGTAACAAATTGGATTTTAAAATGTATAATAAATTGGAAGCATATTTCCTACATAAAATTCTTGAATTTGACATTTGTCAAAAAATCCAAACAACCAGCACCTTGTTTTACAGGTAATGTACTGTCTTGTCAGTTTCTTGAAAGTCTGTCGTGGTCAGTAATGCTTTTTGCTAAAAATGCAACAAAATACAGAAGAAAAAGAGGGCTACATCGATCCCTTGAAAACTATAGATGAGGCGGCCAATCGGGCTACCTCAGTTGTTAAAATTTTACCATTAATATCAATGTAAATAACTAAAAATACAAACTTTTTTTGACGTTCGCTCACAAAATTTGATGTTTCATTTTTAACACTAGTGCTATAAAGACTTTATGTCACTAGTGCGATAAAGTAACATTTTTAATGCTACGGGGGGGTGTTAAAAATTGCATTTTTAACACGTTCGTAGAAAAAATTGTTTAAGAGAAAACTCAAGGAGCTGCTTTTATCTAGAGTATTTTATACATTGCAGGTATACTATGATGCGTCATTTGAGCTTTGAGTATTGTTGAAGAGAGGAACTCAGTGTATTGTATACATTGTCTTTAGTTTTGAGTTTTTTTTAATTTTTTATTTTATTTTATTTTTTGTCTTTTCCACGACTATTTTTACTCTTTATTTTTTTTATGTTTAGGTTGTTGTAATCGTTTATTTAGTTATTATAGCAGTATGTATACCTCAAAACTTATCTTTATAATAACCTAGTTATGTATTTATATTCACCAGCTTTGTCAATAAGAACATTTTTTGAACAATAAAGTATAGTTTTGAATTGAATTGAATTGAATTGAATTGTACACTAGCTTTCCATCACTAAAGTACGACCTATTTTGAAAATATCAGCCTTCAGAAAATTCTTGCATGTTTTTGACCGCAGCTCCCCAACTAAATATTAGTTTTTACCAATAAAAGTATATTTAATAAAAAATATGCAATTTTATTATAGTCTAAAACAACCAAAATTACATCTCATTTCACATCATTCAAAAAAAAACTAGGTATGGAAGATAAATATTTTGAGCGTTTCACAAAATGTCAGAAATTGTTCAAGGGAAAAATTAGTTAATAATAATAAACTTTTTCATGTCAACATAAGGGTTTTAACCTAAAAAATAAAATATATACATACAAAATAAAGTTGAAAAATATAAATAACACATTTGCATAAATAAACTTTGATAGTTTTAGTGTTTAGGATAGTAAGTGCGTGTAAAAACACTAAAACCATTAACACTAATTACCCCTAATAACTATTATATACTATAAAAAATTACATTGCATTATAGAAACAAATTGAAAGATGAATAATAAAGTACATTGATACAGTCATATTTTTTCCAGGAAACAGTGGCATTTAATCATGCAAATATTTAGCTAGTTGCCCTAATGAGTTTTGAAAACATTAAAGAACCAACTTGAATATTTCGCAGGATTTCACGAACAAAACTGATAAATTTTTAACTTAAATCATTTTTGTTGATAAAATATCTCATTTAACCATTTCCTAATATAAAAAATTAAAAAACCACTTATTAATGTTCATGTTCATCCATCACAAAGGACTTTTTTTGTTGAGTCCCAATGTTTTTCGTTACTTCAATAAACCTTAAATTTTAGAGTCATTTTACCATTTTTTCTTGTGTTCGTCCATTGATACACCGCCAGGCCCTAAGTACACGATCATAAGAAGTCCTCCTATCACTGACAATGTCTGAAATTAATCAAGTTTCAATAAAACCCCCAAAATAGGAGATAACCAATTCTCACCTGGAAGAAATCATATTTCAAAAAGTCCCTCAACGGTTTATAATCGGGAATGTTCCACCACGCGTTGTGGTAAAAGTTCAGCGTCGTCAAAAGCAAAACTAAAATTAATGCTGACAATTTGGTTTTGTAACCTATGGTAACTAGGACCATGAGTGCTGAACCCAGTAAGTCTAGAAGAATCTAAAATATAGACAAATCTATTTTATACTGTATGGTTTAACTCTTATGAAAAATATATGGTTGTATTTAGATATATTTTCTGTGAATTCTTGTTTTTATCAGGTGAAGTTTTTGAGTGTCAATTTAAATCCTTATAATGTAATTTATTGGACACATTTAGTGCACCATATACATTATTATGAATACATTTAACTACCTACATATTGAGTTTACTCTATGATGAAGTTCAAGCAAATTTTGTGAAAAATAAAGATGTGGACACAACAAATCTAAACAATTATTTACCTGTAAGAAACTGAATTCGAATCTTATCAGCGTGATAAACATAAAAGCCAAAAGTATCCTGCCGGTAAGTTGCAAATAATTTTTCGGTCTGTTATCATCCATAGATGGAACACCTGCAAACAGACTTTTAGCTTTGTCTTGACTTTCTGCCAAAACGAGCAACAAGGCTCCAATTAGGGCCAAATTTCTGAATAAAAATTGTAAATCCCATAAAATACTGTAGGCTAACGTCTTAAAAAAAATAAAACAAATTAGTTATTGCATAACCAAACAAAGTGGAAATGTTACCTGTAAAATAACAACAAAGAACAACACGCCGCAGGCAATTGGCACCCTGTACCTAACTATAACCATAACACACCCTCCTAATTGGAAAACTAAATTAATTAATACGAAAACTGTGGCCAAAAATTGCCCACAGCCCCACGACATGTTCATATATTCTCTTTGTTCGTTCCATTGCACCCACATACGGATACCGTCTTCGAAGAATGTGGATATTAGACATAAACGGGCTAGGGTTGGTAAAATGTGTTTGAGTTTTCTTTGTACCTGAGAGAAAAAAAAATTGTATAAGTATTCATAATTAAATCAAAGAACATAATTTTGCTCAATAAAATGTTCAAGTTTTAAAAATTTGCGGTTTATAATAAATACATCTGCAATGTTATTATACAAGGTTGTCGGCTGTCGTTCTGTATGGAAACGGTCTAATATTTCAGAACACGAATAAGAAAAAAAAAAGTACAATATTTCCTACTCGAGGTTTTTGGGAATGCCCGATTCAATGGTGGTATTTGCAATGTTGCCGAGCTTACATATAATTATGTATGTATGTATGTAACTTAATTTTTTTTAAATGAAAGTCCCGCTTTATCAACACCACATTCTTGGTAAAGAAAATATTGCTCACAGCCCGTACAGAAAATTATGTACACAAGTTAAAAGCACAGGACGCTTTAGTAATATTTGTGGGACCAGAAAATGCGATTAAGGGTAAAGAAATCAGCTTAGACAAATTACAAAAATTAACTACAAATACAAAACAGACTAATGTATTCATTTGTGCAAGCCCATTTTCCAAAAACAGACCGATCCTAAATAAATTTATACAAAAAATCAACTTAATATAAAACAAGCCACAGCCGATAGTAATATAACATACACCCCTCCTAGTATCACCACAGATAATAACATCAACTATCTGTTGGGATCATCAGTGGCTAATTAACCTTATTTCACATATCTATCAAAAGCTGCGCACCGTACTTGAAGAGAATAAAGATTTTGCGACACGTCTGGATAAATTACGTCAGAACACAAGCTATAGAGGTACACCACAGCAAAATAAAAGAAAATTCAATGTTATTCAAAATATAACAATCAAATCGCCGATTAAAAATATGCATAGCACGCCTGCCTTAATGGCATCAGCAACACAACCAATAAGTCCTATAGCTCCAAAACATTGTTTTTTTTTCGATCCACAAAACATAAAGACGCGGGTTGGCATTCAATGTGGCTCTTCGACGCAAGAATGATGAAGTGGAACATCAAAAACACGACGAAACAAATGGAAATGTCGATGAAACTGACTATTTTTCACCAGAATATACAATGCCTAAAAACTTCAACATTAGAACTAGAAGCGCATTTAATGACTCTCGAAATTCCCCAAAATATCCTCTGTATATCTGAACACTGGATGAAACCAGAAGAGGTAACCTTGATAAAAATTGAGTGATACAACATGATCTCCAGCTACGCACGGATGCACAGTATAGTCAATATAAGAGGTGGAACATGCAGCTATGTATGGGAAGCTATGAAATATTTTATCAAATTTTCGAAATTCTGGTCAAAAAAGTTTTTGAAAAATTTAAAAAGTACACTATTGTCTGGGCGGGCGATTTTAACATAAATTTTTTACTACAAAACTGTCATTTAACTAGGGAAGAAATACTGGAATTTACAACTTGCAGCAAACAATTTTTAATATAACCAGACCAAATAAAAATAAAAAATCCTGGATTGTCAACATCTTTGTTAACTCAAAAACATTTTTTAATCGTAATATAATTAAAATAAGAATATGTGATCATCATGCCCAGACAATATCAATTAATGTTTGCAGTAGTGACAATTTAAAGGATTCTTACTTCATGGGTAGAACATTTTCCAGAGGTAGGCTGTGTCAATTTCAAAAGGCAATTCAGGACTGTATGTACATGGGCGACAGTGTTGGGGAGTGGAGATGTAGATGGGACATAAAACTCATTTATTACAACAACATCCTACTATCTGAATCTGATCTTTCCCAAAAAGAGGAAAAAAATAAAAGAAAACAGCATTTCTCATTGGCTAACCACAGGAATAAAAACGTCCATCAAATATAAAAGAACAATGTTTGACCTCTATCTCTCAGGATTCGTTAGTAAAACAAAATACAAAATATACATAAAAATACTAAGAGGTATTATAAATTGCCTAAAAAATTAAAAATCGGTTGGCATTGATGAGGTCCCTGTGAAATTGCTAAAACATGCTGCGCATATCATCTCAAAACCTCTCGCTCATATAATAAATCACTGCTTCGAAACAGGAAAATTTCCATCTGCCCTTAAGTTTTCCATTGTCAAGCCCTTGTATAAAAAAAGGAGCCAAAAATGATATCAAAAACTATCGCCCCATATCACTATTAAGCAATATAAGCACAATCTTCGAAAAACTAATGCACCAACAAATTACAGACTTCTTAGAAAATCAAAGCGTACTCCCAGACCAGCAGAATGGTTTTCAGAAGGGCAAATCAACAATTAGAGCGATATATCAAACAATTAATAAAATAATTAATACACTCAATAGGAAACAAACAACAGCAGCTCTAAGTCTAGATTTGACTAAAGCCTTTGATAGTGTCAACCATGAAACTTTATTTAAGAAACTGGATGCATGTGGCATACAAAACGTGGCACTGAAGCTGATTGGATCCTTTCAAGAGGACAGGTGGCAGTGCATAGAAAAAGTGAGCAGAGATGGGGAAAGAATAAGGTCAGAATTTGGATGCGTAAACAGAGGCGTTCCTCAGGGCGCGGTCTTGTCTCCTCTTCTCCATATTCTATACACTAATGATACAACAAACATTATTCAAAATGACAATATAGTGTTATTCGCTGACGATAAAACTGGAATATATGATGAACAAGAGATACAAGTGACAAAAGTGTGGATATTCACTCAAAAAAATTAGAAAAATGGTTTGATTCAAATAGTCTAACACTAAACATAAATAAAACATAACTTATTTATTTCAAACCAAAATCATCAGAAAAACTGTGTATGGAGTATGGAGGAGATGACCTTGAGGCTCAGGACGCTGCAGCTTTCCTGGGAGTCACTCTAGAGTCTAGACAATAAGCTGAGCTGGGAAGCTCACATGAATAATATTCCAGCAAAACTGAGCCAATTCTGTTACGTTCTCAGAATTATTAGAGAATCAGTGGGTCTCTCTGCATCTTTGGCTTCTTATCACGCCTATGTACAGTCTCGTGTTAGGTATGGTATCATATTCTAGGGAAATTCAGCTTAAGCTAATAGAATACTTGTTTTGCAAAAACATTGCTGAAGAACAATTCTAAATTTAAACCGCCTAGAAAGTTGCAAAAAACACATTAAAGCAACTTCTGGAAAATAGATCATACTACAATATTGAAGAGTTTTTCAGTGACCCAGATAAAGTAGAACTTTTAAGTTAGATCAAAATATAGAATAAAACAAATACAAAAGTACCAGACCAAAGCCTTACCCAAAAGTTATTTTATTCTCTTAGTTTGTTACACATCATGTTTGTCTTTTATATTGTATTTTTTCATTTCTGTCATTTACTCTTTAATGTTAAGCTCATTATTCATCATATTATTTTGTATTTGTGAATGCATGTAGGTATACCCAAAACATTAAATGGTTAAATTTCATCGAAATACCAGATGCTGATTTTTTGTTAAGGGACATTATGTGATGCTCAAGAAATTTGGTACACAGAGTGCTCTTGATGGAAAATTAGTCAAATGGTATATCATCTATGTGTTTGAATAGTAGACCCTTTGCATCACACCACTGCTTCATTAATCCAAAGTCTCTAGATATAATCTCTAGATCTACAGTGTCTTTTTTGTGCCAGGTAATTGTGTTATCATTGGCAAAAGCAGCAATAACTCAGGATATATCAACATGCAAAAGATCATTGATATAAATAAGGAATAAAATTGGACCTAAAACTGAGCCTTGTGTGGTACACCAAACTCATTAGATTGCTTGGATGAACTTTTGCTGTTTGCGTAGACACTTTATGTTCTGTTAGTTAGAAACGAGTAAAACCATCTCAAGACGTTTCCCCAAAACCATACACCTCTAACTTCTGCAGCAGTATCTCTTGACTAACACAGTCAAATGCCTTTGACAAGTCACGGAATACCGCTGCAGTAGCTTCCCCATCATTATAATTTTTGAAAAGTTGCTGAATTATTCGAAGCATAGCATCATGCGTGTTTTTCTTTGGTAAAAAGCCAAATTGTGCGGTGTTGAAAACATTGTGCTCTGTCAAAAAGTCCATCATACCTTTTCTGACCAGTTTCTTGATAACTTTATAGATTGCTGATTGTAATGATATTGGCCGATAATTTGATAGTTCTTAGTATCACCTTCTTTATGTATTGGAACAACTAGAGCTTCCTTAAGGCTAGATGGAAAAGTACCTTCTGAAAAAGATTTATTTATAGCACTAGCTACAGTATGTAGAATACAGCTTTTTGAATTTGAATTTGAAAATTTAATGTGGGCACGCTGAATTAATTGCAATAGAAATAAAGAGGGACTTTCATTAAAAAAATAAGTTACATACAACATCTTAGAAACGGTAAACTTGGCAACATTGCAAATACCACCATTGAATCGGGCATTCCCAAGGTAGAAAATATTGTACATTTTCCTTCGGCGCGTTCTGAAATATTAGGCCATTTCTATACATAACAACAACCCTGTATATTCTGTTTTCCATAGTGTAATTATGGTATGCAAGAAATGGCAAATTTCAATCGATGTTTAAATGTTTAAACTGCAATGGAGAATACGCGTGTGTGATATATTTATGTAATAGGGTAATTTGTAAGACCTGAAAGAAATACCTCAGCTTATAGAGCAAGTGGAATCTCTTAAAAAGAAGTAAAATCAATTTCAGACCTGATACGAACACGGCTTTTCGGAAGTAAACTCTTTGATCAGCCACTCAATTGAAGTTTCTTTCCTGAGACTTACAAACTGTCTTATGAAACACTTTGATTCAAATCCAGTGATAGAGTGTTGAACAATCAATGGATTCTAAGATATTCAAACCTATTGTCGTTAAGGAAAACTTGTTCTTTAATAAGCCTCTTCTCAGACTTGTTTTTTAAATTACTACTTTGACCACACCAGACTATTATCTAATCATAAAATACATCTTAAGCTAGGTATTTTTTTTTTTAAATGCGAATAAGGAAAATAGTGGCATTGGTGGCTTTTGGTTGGTATTACTTGACTTAACGATTTTCAATGTATAAGATCAAAAATGCAAAAGATTCTCCATTCTTGAAAAACCAAATAGAGTACCTAATTGATAGAAGTAATCCAAATATTTTTTGTAGTAATTTTTTATAATTATTACAAGATATGCACGATCCATAATCTGTTGCCTGAATTTACTAAATTAAACAGAAGCCACCTTTTCCTAAATCACTTCACCCTAAAATCCTTTATTAATATTCCAAATCTGAGCCTATCAATAGGCTCCTTGCATCAAATTTTTTTATTGCTGATTTCGATAGTCCATGAAAAATAAGTCAACACGTGTTTTTTCTTTTTCTTCTTAGTCAAAAATTGACGGAGATACAACACTATGAAATCTGCCTATGACGTCATTTGTGTAATAAATTAGTGACGTTGCACATGCTCAGTATATCTATATATACAAAACTTAATATTTGAATAACTTCCGGAATAATCATATTTGGGCGAAATAAAAAAAAAGTAACGATTTTTTTTCGATTTCCTACAGTTTGCAATAAACAATAATCAATTTAATTTTCCATGCAAGTGCCCTATTACATTACACTTTGAATTTATCAATCTACAGTCTTTAGACACATTTTTTATATTAGACAAAACATTCAAGATAAAAGATTCTGATGTTTAATTTTTGTATTTGTTAGCAACATTATTAATCAACGGTTTTGTTTAAATATTTTATTTTATACAATATTGTTTCATTATATTACTATTATTTTATTATTATGTAGAAACCTTAGTCCTCTACTTTGATGATTATTAATGGCCTGGCCTCGGGCCTGGCCTAACCGAATACCTATCTAGAATTTCAAAATAAAAATGTCTATGATTTTTCGATAAAAGGAACTTTTTCAGAACATATTCCTCCTATGTAGAAAACTATTCAAGGCTAAACTAGCATTTAAAATCAATTAGATTTGAAATTATGCTAATTATAGGATATTAATTATTGACCCATACAATTTCTAAAATTTATTTTTAGCATCTTATATGAGATCCTTGCTTACAATCCAAAATATGAGTGATTACAATATAAAAATAAATAATTGATGACAAAAAATGATAGAAATGGTATGATGATGACTTAACAAAATATATATTTGTAGAAATCATGCATAGAAATCTTGTAATTTTTGTCCATGAAACACGAGGAGATAGTGTATTTTTTGGCACTTGAAAATTCCAAATATTTTCCACAGTATGGATGATATATTTTCATATCAAATACAAAATGAGTACTTAGGAACCCAAACCCATGGCTTCATTTGTTACAAATTCAACTTGAACATTAGACACAAATCTTTGAAAATAATAAATGTGAATTTAATTTTTTTATCAGTCTAAAAACATTATTGGGATTTTAATGGTTTAATATACATATATGATAAAGTGAGTGTAGATATAAATGCAGGTCAAGTTCACAAGAAAGTTAGTGAAAAAACCAGTTTAAATGCCAATGAAGGATAATTTTAGAATATTTATGTAGATCTTGAAAAACATGCCAGCTGCCAAATTACACATATACATTATTTACTATTTATGAGATTAATTATAAAAAGTACAATTGGATTATAAAAGTTTAAGCATATGGATTATCTTCGTTGGACCAAATTTCAATTATTCATTAGGTGATCAAAGTTGTGAATATGTTAATAAATTTGGGTCATATTTTTTTGGCAAAATAGGGACAGAGAAAACCTGTTGAACTACAAAAACAATTTATTTTAAATGTGATGTGTCCTATACAGATTATACTAGAGGAAATTTTTGACTGAAAATATGGGTGTATCATCAAAATAAGAATTCTCACCTGATCCGCAACATCTTCAGCTCTGGAAACATATTCATTTTGCATAATCATTGTGAGAGCTAGGGCCGAAAAACTCCACGCAACAATTTTTTTTCAAAGACCAAAAATGTTGAAAACTTAAAAACACCACCACATAACGTTGCGTTGTCACTCAATCACTGTCAGTGGCTTTGACAGAACAGAATACGGAGAGAGGTGCTTTCCAGTGACCCGCTGGAGTTACTCCTGAGCAGCTCAGGAGTGCTCCGGAAGTACTTTGCGCGTTCCAGTGCTTAGAGTGTCGTACACTAGAACTACTCATTTCTGTTATCCCCTGCCCCCTCGGGAAACTACATAGATTTCGGTGTTTCATGCTCAGAAAGTCCGAAATGGCGGGGGTTAAGAAAATTGAGTTCGATTTTGACGGTTTCTTCTTCATTCTTCGCACACGAGAGCATTCGAGTGCTGCTTATGTCGAACAGATCGAGAGCATCACTCTCCAGAAGCATGATACTCTAACAATTTAGGTACTGGAAAGCAGCTCATGCCAAAGCACGGCTGATGACGCTTTTTCGCCTTGTTTGCAAGGATAATATACACTACTAAGGATTGCTTATCGGCCTCCTTTTCGGTAATCTCCGTCATACTGGTGTAGCACCATTTTCGACGTCATCAACTAAATCGTTAAACGTTTGGTAGTTAGAATTTAAATTTATGACGAAATAGTTATTTATGTATCAAGGGAATTATGAAGGTGTTAATACCCCAGGAGACCAATTGCCCGTGGGTATTAATTAACACCTGATAATTCCCGTGGTACATAGATAATTTTATATCCTACTGAATTTACTGTATTCTGTCTATTTTTATAAAGGAATAAACCATAAATCAAAATTTCTATTTTTTGTCAAAGTTTTACCTATTCAAGGTAAAAGAAAAAGCGGGAATTATAGAAATCCTTAACTCCCTTGGGAGCTATGATATCTTTAACTCCCGCGCGGGAGTTATGGAAATCCTCAACTCCCTTGGGAGTTAACACCCTGTTTATGATTATCGTAACCAAGGTATTATATGGTTATAATAGTTCAGTAGGAAATAAAATATATTATATAACTAGCTGACCCGGCGAACTTCGTACCTCCTCTGAATACCTATTAAATGTTGTGTTAACGTATCTATTGACTGAATTAAATTCAGTTTTTTTCGATTTTTTTTTTTTTTTTTTTTACGGATATGCGCACTCGCAAGGAAATGTCCTATCACGCTCGAGAAGCGGCAAGTGCGCGGAAATGTCGGTGTATGTTGGTCTTGAAACGGTTCAGGTTGTAACCTGCAGGGAAAACCGTCGCAGGGAGTTTATTCCACAGCGATGCTGTTCTCCAGAGATATGAATTCTGATATAATGAGGTTCTTGGTGCCTCTAGTTTGACAGTAAATTCATGGTTACCGTCTGTTTGACGGGTTCGCCTGGTAGGTGCTACTCTCGGTGGAATCATACGTGCCAACTCTTCAGAGCATTTTCCGTGATAGTACCTGTAGAAGAGAGATAAATCGCCCACAGATCTGCGATGTTCGAGACCATCCAAGTTACGAGTAAGTGCGGGGTCATTGATCAGCTTGATAGCTCGTTTTTGCACGGTATTCAAAAGCATTAAGGTATGTTTGGGTGCTGCACTCCATATATGTGAGCAGTACTCCATAGTTGGTCGAATCTGGGCTTTGTCGAGTGTCAGCAATTGGCTTGGTGTGTACAGATGTCTTGTACGAAATAGCACCCCCAGCTTTTGGGAGGCCCTTTTAGCAATATCTGCCACGTGACTGTGCCAAGACATGTTGGTCTCTGCAGTAACCCCCAAGATGTTCAACTGACTCTGTAATGTGACAGCACTTCCAGATAGCATGATGTTTGGCTCACCGGTGCTGGTCTTTTTTGAAAACAGAGCTGCTTGGGTTTTCTGCGCGCTGAACTGTACAAGGTTTTTGTTACCCCAGTCCTCTATTATCTCCAGGTCGTTATTTATCTGCGATATTTGAGTTAGTCTAAGATGATGGAATTCACGTGCGGAAAGACCTGTGGGTGGTATGAGTGAGGAGACTACATTGCCATCGTCTGCAAAGCAATAAAGTGGATTTACTGTTTTATCTATGAGGTCATTTATGTAAATCAGGAAAAGAGTTGGCGAAAGGATTGCTCCCTGTGGCACACCAGCATTTATTTGGTAAGAGTTGGAGTTCTGGCCATCCAGTGCAACATAAATGGATCTGTCCTTTAGGTAACTTTCAAACCAAGTGCAAAGTTTCGGCGATAATCCCATTGCTTTGAGCTTGTTGAGCAGATTTTCATGCCAAACTTTGTCGAATGCTTTAGATATATCTAAGGCAATTGTTCTTGTTTCACCCCGCAACTCAATCGCTTTTTGCCATAAGTGAGTGACGTATGTAAGTAAATCGCCAGTTGACCTATATTTTCGAAATCCGTATTGCTTATCGTTGATAATTTTGTACTTTTCCAAGTACTTGGTTAGGTGATTGTTCACAACTCTTTCCATTACTTTTGATATCACCGGAAGTAGAGCAATTGGTCTATAGTTTAACGGATCTGTCTTTTTTCCTTTCTTTGGAATGGGTTGTACTGCGGCAGACTTCCATGATGATGGATATACTCCTTGCCTGTAAGACAAATTGAATAATTTAGCGAAAGTTGGGGTGAGTTCGTTGGCGCAATTTTTGAGTACTATTGCGGGAATGCCATCCGGACCCATTGCTTTGTTTGTATCCAGCTTTTTTAGGGATTTTCGTATTTCTCTGTGACAAAAGGGTACCTCTGGCATACTATGGGAAACCCTTTCAATGAACGGTGGAGTTTTGCCGTTTGGCACTGTTAGGTTGGAGTTGGAGGAAAACATTTGGGCAAGCATATTGGCTTTTTCCTCTGATGTTGTGGCTAAGTGATTATTTTTATCTGTAAGTGGTGGTATGGATGACTTGGTGAAGTTAGATCCAACAGCTTTTGCAAGAGACCAAAAAGACCTAGAACTACTTGGACATAATTCAGCAACCTGTTTTTTATTCTTTGATTGTATGTTTCTTTAGCGGAGTCAATAGTAATTTTGCAACTATTTCTGGCTTCTATAAATTCTGTGTGGTTTTGAGCGGTTTGTTGTCGTTTCCAAAGGTTATATGCTCTGTGTTTTTTCTGTACAGCCGTTTGACACTGGCTGTTGAACCAAGGTTTTGCATTAGCTCTACGTTTAGTTGTATGTGGGATATATGCGTCCATTCCAGATAAGATTACTTGTGTTATTTCATTACAGCAAATAGTGGGATCAGCTGTTTTAAAGCAAACCTCTTGCCATGGAAAATCCAGGTAATACTGTTTTAGGTCATTCCATTTTGCCGATTTATAGTGCCACATTTTACGAGGAAGTGGTTGTAGGCTTGGTGGGATGAGCATTTCGCACTTTGTTATTATAAGTTTATGATCGGACGAACCAAGTGGAGCATCTACTTGAATTGTGTACGAGTCAGGATTGGTGGTTAGGAACAAGTCTAAAAGCGCTGCAAATTCGCCCCTTTCTGAGATACGGGTAGGTTCATCGACAAGCTGCGTTAGACCACAACTTATGGCAAAAGCTTCTGCTTCTCTGCCTTCGTTATCTGTTTTGTTGTGGTGTTTCAGCCAGGGTATATTATGGACGTTGAAATCGCCTAAAAAGACAATTTCCGCCTGTGGATAGTTTGACTGTATACTATCACAGCTTTCGGATAATGTCGCGAAAAAGTTTTGGTAATCGGTGTTACTTGGCGGTCGGTAGAGGCAGCAGATAAACTTGGTCGATGACTTTGAGGTGAATTTTAGCCATATGATATCAAGGTTCGCTGGTTCTAGCTTCTCCTCTCGATGACATGAAAGGTCATTTTTAATGTACACACAGATCCCAAAATTATGTCGAAATCGGTGGTGTAGGTCATAGCCGGGATAAAAATAGTTCACAATAGGTGTTGCAGAACTGATTTTAGTTTCAGTGAGAACAAGGATGTCAGGTCTTTGTTCTTCAAGATGTTGGTGAACTGAATTCATATTTGTACTTATTCCTCTTATATTGCTAAAATCAATTCTGAGTTGAGTTTTTGATCTTTTTATATCTTTGCATGAAGGACCCCCAGGATCACCCGACGCCCGGAGATCCGAGTGGTCGGGTATTTTACCTCCGGAATATTTTGATCCTGGAGGCGCCATCATGCTATCTGTTACTCATTGTTGGAACCGGACTGCCAGCGCAGTAGCGGAACGTGGTGATGCCACTTAGCGCTACTCAATTCTGGCATGGTGGTATCTCACCGGTCGACGCCCAATGAGTAAAAAGCGTCTACCACCTACCATCGATGGTGAATTTGGCCAAAGATTTGGCTTTGGTCGAAGAAAATTAATTTTTACTCTCTGGATCAGAAGTCACCTAAAATTAAAATTTTACATCATCCCTTTTTAGGCATCTTGTGGGCATTATTCTTATAAAGTGTACCACCAAATAAATAAACTCAGGCACAGGAATGTTCAAAAAATTTAAAGAAAACAAAAAAAATCTCCAGCGCAGCCCTGTTTCATTTTATCTGCACTGCAACACTCCATCTGTTCTACTGTATCTGCACTATTCTATCTGATCTACTCTTTCTGCACCACTTTATCTGATCGGAATAGTTCTGTTCAGAATAGCTCCAGTTCCTTAGCAGTATTCTGTTCTACTGTATCTGCAATGAAATTACCGCGCAACGGCGAGCTTCGTTCTAGTTACCATCATATATGGCGCCGTATACAAAAGGGTTGTGGCGGACTCATAACCTGGCTCTCTGCCACTCGACACCAGCCGGACGGAGCACTCCGAACAGTCGGCACGGAACACGGCTGTCAAGGGATGCCTATAAAGAGGAGACACGGAACCAATGAACTAGAGCTAAAAACTGGAATGCGCACACAGTTGACACAGTGCCATATCGGCCAAAAAAATGAAGCCATGAAAGACAGATGCCACAACGGGGAATGTTGTCTTTTTCTGTTGCTCGCTGACATATGACGTTTTCGAAAGTTTTGTCATATTTTCCTTCACAGGTTTCATCAATTGGAATACGTGTTGGAAGCAATTTGCGCCATTTAACATAATGAGTGCGACAAAAACAGGTATCCCCTCCGCAGCAGCCGCACTAGGCTTCAC